GGGAAGGAGAACAAAGGGAAGGAGAACAAAGGGAAGGAGAACAAAGGGAAGGAGAACAAAGGGAAGGAGAACAAAGGGAAGGAGAACAAAGGGAAAAGAAAAGAGGAATGGTAGGCTGAAAGGTACAGACGAACGAGGAAGAGCAAAATGGGAAGAAGGCTTTGCKMTATCTATTTTTAGTAACCGCGAACTATGCTATTATGAGTAAGAGGTGAGTGGCACGTGGATGATAAGGGAGGGAAAAGAAAGAGAGAAAAGAAAAAGGGAAGAAAAGAGGAAAGSTAGTAAAGGTACAGACGAACGAGGGAAGAGCAAGGATGGAATGAGAAGGAGAAATAAAGTATGAACGCAAAAAAAATACCTGTTTTAAATCGTACAACTCTTGAGTCAAACTATCAACAAAACCACAGCCATCTGCCTCTACATCCATCCATTTCCCCTCCGCCGAGCATTTCCTGTAAGCAAATCCTTTCTTCGAGGACACCCGCATTGTTCCCGCGGGACAAGGAAGCTGAGCAATACTTCCCATAGCTACATTATCCCAATGAAAAGTCCCTTTCTTGGTCTTAGTGATTTCTGCATGGCAATATTTAGAACCTCCAGGTAAGACAACAAGCGATGATTTTCCCTCTTTTGAGGTCTTGTCACTTGAAATAACACACCTATAAACACCAGTATCTTCAACGTCTAGCTTTTGAAAGTTTAGCATGGTGATGATGCGAGCAGCTTTCAAGTCAGTCTGGAATGCGATCTCTCCGCGTAGATCAGGTGAGTTAGGTATAAGGAGCTTCTCGTTTTTGTACCAGTTGATTTTAAGTCCGGGAATCCACGTCGTACCACAAGTGTAGGTAAATGAGTCTCCTTTTATTCCAACTTCATCGTTTTTTGGTTTGAATGAATAAAATGGTAACTGAAGAGTATCTAAAAACACAATAATAATATCAGTTGTAGCGCGTAACAGTTGCATTGTGGGAGTCAAAGGCGGTGTATGGGGTAGTGTATTCGCCTCTGGGGTCTTTGGTTCATATCCAGACTCAGCATCACATGTGAGTAATGTTTGTTAGGAGTTTGTTAGGTCTCTCCCTTGATTCGAGGGTTTTCTTCAAGCCGTTCCAAGACGCGTTTTCCTCCCTCTGCACAAACTAACATGCTAGATTTCGATCTGTGAATTAGCCGACCCCCCTCTTAAATCAGCTCAGAGGTTGTTTCAGGGTTCTATCTGTGAGTTAGCCATGCCCTGACTTAGATCAGCCCTGAGGTTGTTTCAGGGTTCAATCTGTGAGTTAGCCATGTACCTGACTTAGATCAGCCCAGAGGTTGTTTCAGGGTTCAATCTGTGAGTCAGCTGTGCCCTGACTTAGATCATCCCAGAGGTTGTTTCAGGGTTCAATCTGTGAGTTAGCCATGCCCTGACTTAGATCAGCCCAGAGGTCGTTTCAGGGTTCAATAAGATTCAAAGATGTTTCCTGGCCTAGATATCTTACCACATTGAAGGTTCTTCGGAGAGATGTCTCCAATCTCGTTGTACTTTAGGGGTTCTGGATATCCACAAGTTCCTTTGACGGAYACTTTGTTCTTTTTAAGCTTTAGAAGCCATTTAACATGACAGTCGCAMAGCAGATTATTGGATGACACGTCCCTAGTGACAGATAGTACGGAATAAGAAAAGTGGAAGTATAATTCACTTAGAAGAAAGCAGGCGATATCCACTGAGAGAGCTGAACAAGTGAGACCCTGTGAAAGATTATTGCTTTTCTCAACGTTGCACACACTCAATCAAATCGTAGCCGACCAAAAAGACGAWGACGAGTTTTGAAATAAAAGTCAGTGACTATTTTATTGTTCTTTGTTGCGCGATACTCCAAGGCTTCTTTTATTTTAGTTTATGACTCGTCAACTCGTTTGCAAGCGCGCGCAACCTTGACCAAGCGATCTACTGATATCTAGCACGCCCTGAAGGGAACGGCTGTGGTGCTTTGGCAGCCGATGCGCTCAAATTTAGCGCGACAGTTACTACATATCTGTGACAGCTAAGGAGACTGAGGTTTTGAGACAGGTGTCATTAAAAACATTTCTGGGAAAAAATGTTTTGATAAGTGTTTTATCACGCTGCGCAATACGTAGTTATTCAAATATTATCGCGAGATGTAGCACTAGAGTATAATACTTGGGGAGTCAAGTTTGATTCGATGCTCAAAGAGACAAACAAGCGTAACGAACATTTTATAATGGACTTCAGTGTGAATTGTGGAGGGAAAAAGAACGACAATAGACAGAATGAAGACAGCAAGATGAAACACGGTATTACGGGAAGACATTTTGCTTTTCATTTTAATTTGGATCATTTTCTAATATCTCTGTACTCAAGAGTATCTAATGGTATTGGACATGCAGTGTTCTGTTTATTCGTTAGTTTATTGGTCAATATAACTTCCCTTCCACGACCGTTTAAACCCGGACTGACATCAAACGGAGGAATCCAACGAGSCTTGTCGTTCTCTTGCTAATTTTGCTTTTCTCCACACCAAACTCATAGTACTTTGGCTCAAAGAACACCGAGGTTCTACCACTTTATTCATCATCTCTTTGACCGCCAAGAACTCTTGTCTTACATTGTCCTCCATCACGATCATCACTTGATCAAACATTATAATCATATGACGCATAAACTGGACTAGTTTGTTCATATCATCTTGAATTCTTGCCTCCAAGTAATCACACGTCACAACCAGTTTATTGATGCTTTGTAAAGAGWGCTCTCCTTGTTGAATCAAGGCTTGAATGCAGCTTGCATTTTGACGTAGCGATTGACATACCTCTAATAATTCTTCGATAACTCGCTTTAAATTAGCGAAGAAGTAAAACTGTCCTTCTTGGAGGGCTTTAAGCTTTCTTTCTTTCGATATTTCCTCGAATTGCTTGCTCATATTGTTCTTCCTTCTKTTCTAACTCACGAAACAATAAACTCTTCTCGACTGTTGGAGCGGGAAAACTGATACAGCGATGTAGCTCACAGCTACAAGATCTTTTTTTTATAAAATAATCTTTTTTTTTTAAATTTTCACTCTGTAAAACCTTTTTTTTAGGAMAAAATTTAGGAAGTCAAAAACAATGAAGCTAAAAGACGTGTGGACTGATAGAAGAGACGACAGACTAATTCCTTCATATAAAAAACATCTTAAAGCAAATATATTTTTGCTACCACAAAAACCAACAAATGAATAAAACATGGCGAAAATACGAATGTCAATAATGAGGATTTCCTAAATAAATGTCTTTTCGTAAAATTCAATAAACATATTGTTTAATTGTGTAATAATTTTAAAGTTTAAATTAAAATTAAAATTAAAATTTTCGAAAGAATATCCTTTGACGTAAAGGGAATTTTATTGCTCGATACGACAGGTGTTGGTATAACGGATGGAGCATTTAGAAGGATCAAGAGAAAGATTAATATGAGATTACGACCAAAATGGCAAAAACTTACATCTTATTTACCAGCAGTTCTTTAATGAAATTCCCAGTTATTTCTGTGTTCCCCTAAGTTTATTTTGTTTGATTTGATAATTTTTATTTGAAAATACCTTCACAAGTAAATTCGAGYTCCAAAACGAGTGGACAAATTAGGAGAGATTATTTACTGCAAGACTGATCGCTCCAGACGATTTTCTTTCCAATTTTCTTTGTGAAAATCTTTTTTTCTTTCCCTAGTCTTTTTGGTCCTACCATTCCACTTCATGACCTCAAAGTTTTTGGACATGTTTGTACATGGATTATAAATTGTTGGTGCTGAATTCCCGAAAATTGGGAACACTGGATCCCACAATCCAGTTTCCACTATTCCATTTCGTCATGKATAGAATTTATGGTCACCCATTTTYGKTATTCTTCAYTTGCTTATGATGTCATAGCCGCCATCTTGGTCGAATTWAACAAATGATATYGTCAACGAATTATTCTTTTATATCATTGAACCAACATGGCTACCATGTCTTTTGCTATTTCACTCCCTTRRGAATGATTGAAAACCAGCAATTTCATGTTTGGATGTAATGTAAAACAATCTCTCAAATGTAAAATGCAAAGTCCAAGGTCAGAAAATATGTGTTGTATACTCACACACTCCTTARGGATTCCAGAGGCTTGAGGGTTGCATCAGGAATAATAATAAATTTGTTCGAGGACAAAATTCTGGATAAAAAGAAAATCTTTTCAAATGAAAATACAAAAACCTTTTTCAATTTTTATTTGAATTTTGGCAAATGCCCTACCATTGTGCCACCCTAGATTAATGGATGAGGGCAAAACAATCGTCTTCTCACGGTACCTGATGTAGGGGGGAGGGGTGGTGTTTCCTGGTACCCACCACCTCCAGAAGTGAAATCTTAGATTTTGTCCCCAAATATCTCCAAAACTAAAAGCCAAATCACGGAAATGAATGGACTGTCTGTCTGAATGTATGCTTAATAGCATATTTGCGTATAGAAATTGCTACTACAGACCTCCAGTATCGAGCATTTGAAGAGTTTTGAGGGGGGAGGGCGTATGTACCGGTACCCACCACCTTAATTCATAAAATCGGGTCCCTATTTTGGACCATTGTTTCGACCTCACCCCTAACGAGAGTAAACCTTTTAAAAATGCTACATATTCATATCAAAATACTCCAAAATATAATCAAAAATAGTGGCTAGTTAAAAGTGAAGTCTACTTACAATTGTCTCAGCTTCTTGAGACCAGTGAAGACAGTAACATTGATGTAGTTCAATTCATTGTGACTAAGATCTCTACAATCATAGTGAAAATGTATACTCATATTACAAAGAAATGGAATACAGAATCATCACACTAAGATGAGAATGAACCTGAAGGTAGGACAAGATTGGAACAAGGGGGGATGGCTTAGGAATATTGGGTTTGATTCAGAGTTTGTTGAGGGTCCTGAGGGAGTAAAATGGGAACTGGGGTTTGTTTCTTTGGGCTTGGAAAATGAGATTTTATGCACTGGGTCCAATGGGATAAACAAACCAAACAAACAAAAAAACAATCAAAAAATGGTAATGGGATTGACATTTGAGCAAAACGTAGGCTAGGAATATATGATCTGATCAAAATGGGGCTGGGAAATGGGATTAGGACCCCGCCCCTCTTTACAACACTCTTTGTTAAGTCTCTCTTCCTTAATTTGTGAGTTATCCTCCACTCAAGTTTCCTTCCTGAGCAAAACCTAATTAGCCCAGAGGTTGTTTCAGACTATCCAAATAAAATGTTAAAGGGTTAGGCAAGGGAGCACATTAAAATTTTGTTTGTGTAAGGAAAGTCGTTGTTCTTGGTTGATCTATCTAGCGCGCGCGATCCATCTTGTGACAGGCGTTCCTCGTAGTGTTTTGGTTTCGGCTGATCCGAATGGCTTACGATCATGTAAGGAAGGGAATGACGAGTGTAATAGGAGGGGAGTGAAACAGTGGAAATTTTATCGTCCTATGCTCGTAGCAGATTGCTATGCACACAGACTGTTGCTATGCACATTGATGGCTGGATTACACAATCAATATTTTAACGTGCTCCCTTGTTGAAACTTGAAGTAAGCTGAATTTATGAATTTACATAACATGAGCGTATGAGTTTATGTTCAAGATGACTGTCAAGTCACTCGTTTGAATGTTTTTGAAATCGTTAATTTGAAATTTGAATTTTTCTACAGAATAATCACTAGTTTATTTTCCGTATCTAATGGGGAAGCTATCAAAACTACGGAGGCATATTTAGTTTACAAGACCGAGTGTAACAAAAAAGGGATAAAGCCATGTGATCAGGCAAACTTTTCAACAGTAGGATTATTCTTGATTATGTTCACCAGTTTGTGAGCCGATTTTTTCCTGTTCCGACGCCGGCGAATGAATGTATTGTCGATCCTCATATATTTTGAGCCGCAATGCCCGTTGATACGGTGATAAAAACACCGCTTGCTCCCTTTCTCAACTCCTTTAAAATATATCTAATTAAAAATAATTTTCCGCTTCCAGCTATTCCACTAATAAACACACTAAAACCTTTTTCTACGATAATAAAAACTTTTTTTTGCTCTTCGCTCAAGGACGCCATTTTGTTTGTTTTCATCTGTTTGACGTTACACATCATTTTTTTGAATTTGTCACGTAATCCATTTCTATAGATACTGCTACCAGCATAGAGCGAAAAATATTTTCATTTTGGATTGTTTGATTGGCTGAAAAGAGTCACGTGGTTTACAGTTTCACTCCCCTCCTTTTTTACACGTCGCTCCGCTCCTCGAAAAATATTCGTCGGTTTTCGGAGTAAATTCGCTAGCCCGACTAAAGCAAGGAACGCCTGCCATGAAGTGTAGCGCGCGCGTAAACAAGAACTACAAGGAACGCCTGCTATATCTTAGAATACGTGCGATAAAATCGAAGATAAACCAACATAATCAAAATTTTAACGTGCTCCCTTGGGTAAGGATGGTAATCAAGGTACTTACAGAGTTTTCAGAGACCTCAGACCTTTRAAAGGTTCACCATTAAGAATAACCAGTTTATTGTGGCTCAGGTCACTGTCAAAATAACCAAAATATCTACAGTCATAAAACTTTTATTTAAAAAAYAAAATAAGTAACGCCAGTTGAGTGATATATCTAATGGACTAATGTCGTTTTTAAACTTCATTACATCATCATTGAAAATGAGATTCTTTGTTTAAGTCACAACTATATCGATGTATCCTGTTGACAGCTAAAAATATAATTATCAAGGGAATAATATGTGGACTGATTTGAGAAAATATTGTCCATATGCTCAAAGTTAAATAATGGGTTTAAGGGTTAGGTGGGATTAAAAAATGGCTGACGCCTACTACATCCTTGACCCCACCCTGTATCATGTAATTATCTAAGCCAAAAAAAGATATGTATTTGACATTATGACAGCAGAAGTCCAAGATGTTCAATACATCAAACAGCTGCATTAGTGGTAATGGACACTCCTGGTTTCATCCCAATYAATATTCACAAATGTGACATCCACAAAAGTTAAAACCCATCTTTTACACAATTTATGTATATTCAATAAAACGGGGAGAAAACCTAATTAATACGATAGAACAAWGCTAAGAAAGAATACAATAGGTGTGCATTACATGCAGAAGGATCCCATGTTTTGCAATATAAGAAAAACTTACAGCTTGGAGAGTCTCGTTAATCCAGAGAAAGCACCAGTTTTAATAGTGGATATCTTATTACTTGACAAAAGCCTGTTGAATGATAAAAACTACATGCTAGATTATGACTTGACATGTTTTGACACTGAGGGAAATAGATATGCCAGCAAAAATTGTATGCTTTTATATWAGCTCTATTTAAAAACATGGACATGAACTGACCCTGAATTGCAAGTCGACTAACACCTGTTTCCTTAACTACTCAAGGCATCATACAAATTTATTTGCAAAGTAAAAAAGAGAAACCGATTATATTTCACGTCAAAAGCAACTAATTGCTCTTAAAGTGGTCAATATAAACCAACAATTTAGAACCAAAATATTGTTAATACTATTATCAAACTCATTAATAATTCATGAAACAGTAATGATGAAAAGGTAAATTATACTA